GAACCGGTAGTAAAAAAAATTTGAATCCCACCACTGGTTTGTAAGCTTTACGGTTCTGGAGATTTTGTGGTGATGCGTGAGTGGTATTTCACTTTTATATATATATATAGATTACCTAAAAGTGAAAAAAGATGAGGTTTTATGTTGCTACCTTATTCTACTGCATCAAAGGGAGTTGGCAGTTAATGGTTTTCTTTTTCCTTGTCTTACATTGTTTTCTCTTCCTCCTTTCCTCCCTTATTTTCCTTCTTCTTTGGACTTCTTTTTTTTTATATTTTGATAAACTAATAAAACATTTGAATCGCTAAGGCTCAAACCCCCATGGGCTCGCTGAGTTCCCCGTCTGGCCTTATTTTTAAGCAAATGATGGAGAGTAATGTTACAGCATAAGAAGATTGAATTCCAACCTAGAGGAAAGGCAAAAAATTAAAAAAATCAGGGAATTGTTTGGTGTCTTAAAAAGAGTTAAGCTCCTGTCCAAGCTAGATGGATGAGCTCATAAAGAAGAGATAGCTTGGTTTGTGAGGTTAGGAGAAAGAAAGCTCAGGAAAGGAAGCTTTGACAGCTGCTCAAGGGGACATTTCCTGAGCATTCAGGCTGAAAATATAGGTTGAAAATGTCAGAAGTGCTCCTCAACCTTTCCCAGAGGCATACGGTTCCTCTGGAGCCTTGCAAAATGTCATCATATTATGGGATGGTCTTAACGTGGCCATCTTTACAATTCATCAAGATGAACCAGCAGATGTTGGTGGTAGGGACAGAAGTCTTGGAGAAGACTATTATTCTGACCCAAACCTGGTTCCATGAGAATAAACACAAAACAAAGGTACCAGCACAACCTTTTACTGTTTCATTTAGGAAAACTGTTTCTTCACAGATAAAAGGCTGCTTCCAACTAATTAGCTCCAATAAGGAAGAGCCTTGCCAAGTTTTTGTCTGCCAAGAACAACAGATAAAGTTCCTAAACAATAAATTAAAGAGTCTCCAAATACCAACTCACATATTCTAACGTCTACCAGGCTCGAGTACCAAACTGCTTTGCCTTCTGCAAAGAATTCCGGTTTCTCAACTGGCTTTTATCTCTTAAGGGAGGGGCCATTACCTTGCAGCCTTACTCCCGAGTCGCCTGTGCTGCAGCAGCTGCTCTTTCCTTCGAGCAGCCCTGCACGCTGGGCACAGGCTCCTCGGGGACCTCTTCATCACTGCTGCCAGCCTCCACAATCTCCAAAGGCAGCACTCCACTCCCTGATGGTCCTGGCCCCATCTCTGCATCACACGCAGGCCCCTCATCCGAGTCCTTGCTCTCCGAGACCTCAGATGTCCACACCTGCTGCCGGTGAACCACAACAACAATTCTCCAAGCCTAGTATGAGGACGTCATGGCAATTACTTAGCTCCAGAGTCGGCATGAGTCCACCCAAGGAATGTTCATTCCCTCCCTCCCCATCCAGAGACCTGCCAGGGGGTATGCTTCACATTCTCATCTTTGATGAGACAGCTAAGGGAGTGTTCCGGGCGACCCAAAACTGATTGGGCCAGTGGTTCTTACCCTGTAGTCCACAGACCCCTGAGGGGGGGGGGTGTCATGATGTTGTCACAAGGACTTTGCGAAGATTTTAGGAAATTGTTGTGGTCTTCCAGCGGCCAGCAGAGCTGGCAACAGAGTCAGACAGTGAGGAGGTTGGGGAGGAACGTGGGCCAGTCCTGGAGTCTGGGGAAGACTCTGATGAGTGCTCTGCGTCGGAGGCAGAGATGGGGCCAGGACCACCTGACAGTTATCAGCTATATTCGGAGTTGAAGATCAGTGGGGCAGAAGAACAGCTGGAGCCTGTTCCCAGTATGCACATGCACAGAGCTGCCAGGGGAAGGGAACAGCTAAGGAACAAGGGTCGACTCAGCTCAGGTGGACGGTGAATGCCCCCTCCCATAGGGAATAAACACAAGGGCAGTGGTGTTTGCAGGAGACAATTAGGTCAGTTCATTAGGGTGAAGGTGTGTTCCTGACTTCTTGCCAAGTAATTGCTACTACAGCATGGCGTTTGAAAGATATCGGCCTGGCAACTCTCCAAGCCTGATAAAGGTCTGTAGTTGTGAAATCTCTTTAAAGACTGTTTGCCGGGACTTTGCTGGAGAGGAATTCACCTTAAATAAATAAATAAATAAAGGGGTTTTTATCGGAACGAAGAGTCTGCTTCATGATCCTGGGAAGCCTAGGTCAGAACAGAAACGTTATGATTTAAACCTTGACTTAAGACTTGGTGGCCCATGGCCAGGGTCCATAGCCACCAAAGGAATTTAAAGGGGCCCCACAATGAAGAAAAGGCTGAGAACCAATGGACACGGCCATTGATATTCTAGAAGTCAGAAAAGGAATTCAAGATGCTCTTGAGAAGACACAGGACTGAACATAAGAGAAGGAAAGGTAAGTGAGGCACAGGTAAATTTATCCCAAGGGTGCTTTTCCAAAAGGCAACTGGACATTCTTAGTTCTTTTTTTTTTCCCCTTGAAAACATTTTGCAAGAACTGAAGAATTGAAGAAGCTTCTCAGATGAGAAGCAAAATGTTTTCAAGGGAAAAAAAAAAAACCCTAAGAAAGTCCAGTTGCCTTTTGGAAAAATACCTTTGGGACAACCATGACCTGGCTGACTGAGAATCTCTAGAGGCACATATAAAAGTTTTTCATTGTCTTGGTAACAGCTGGCGTCAAAAGGATACATGCGGGTGACAAGCTGACTGTGAACCTAGCTATTTTTTTAAAAAAAAATAGGGAGGTGCATGGATAAAATGGTAAGAAAGTCTTCCTGCCATTCAACTCCCTTCAGCACTGGAGAGATCCCATGGAAGCACTCAATGCTGGGCGGCACACCTTAAAAAAAAAATTGCTTCTCTTACAGATCCTCAATGGCCTTAGGAGAAAACATCTGGTTATGATTAAACTTGAGAAAAAGCTAAAAAAAAAATGCCCCAGAGCAAAGAGCACCTTAAATCAGAATTCCCCAGCCTTTGTGGACTGGCACTGGGGGTGTGGGGGGGAAAAAAAGAGAGGGGATGATTCTGTGCAAGCAGAGGCCAGTGCACACACCAAGCTCCATTCGCACGAGTGGCTGGCGTGCACTTCCACCATTTGCACAACTGGAGTATGCACGCACACGCTCATCCACCGTGCAAGCGTGGATGTGAATGTGCGCTCACCTGCTGCTTCCCTGGCCCAGTTCCAAACAACTCACAGCCCAGTAGTGGGCTGCAGCCCCCCCCCCCCCCGGGTTAGGGAGCCCTGTTTTAAATGACAGAAAGTCAAGATTTGTGCTAAAATATTAAGGGAAACAAATGGGGGTGGAAACAGTGGTTGAAGAGCCACCAAGAGCCATGGTGGCGCAGTGCTTAGAGTGCAGTACTGCAGGCTATTTCTGCTGACTGCCGGCTGCCTGCAATTTGGCAGTTCGATTCTCACCAGACTCCAGGTTGATTCATCCTTCCATCCTTCTGAGTTTGATAAAATGAGGATGAGAACTCAAAAATTGTTGGGGGCATTAGGCTGGCTCTGTAAACTGCTTAGAGAGGCCTGTAAAAGCACTGTGAAGCGGTATATAAGTCTAAGACTTGGGGATCTTCAAACTTGATAGCTTTAAAACTTGTGGACTTCAACTCCCAGAATTCCTCTTCCAGTCATGTTAGCTCAAGAATTCTGGGAGTTGAAGTCCGCAAGCCTTAAACTTGCCAAGTTTGAAGACCCTTGGCTAAGTCCTATTGCTATTGAAAGAGGATGGACTCCCCATTCCTGGGTCTTTTTCACAGGGAAGACTGGATGTTCTCCAGGTTCCCCTTTGTGGCTCAAAGCTCTGCTCTTCGGAACCTTTCAAAGGGACTTAGCACCTCTGGCAGGGAAGCCTCCCCACGGGCAACCCCAGATAGACTTCCAGAACAGGAGTCCCCAGAGAACGTTTTTTTTTTTTTGGCTTCTCTTGCACTTCCAGTTAGTGCAAGGAAGGGCAACTCAGGACGGAGCTGCTGGTCAGGAAGTCCCGCTTACACGGAAGGGCTGATCAAACGCAGCGCAACCCACCCCACAGCGGGGCACAGCGGGGCAATCAGGTCACCCACCGGGCGGCAGGTGAAGCCTCCTTGGCCAGACCGGGACCGGATTTGCGGCGGGACGGCTTGGGTAACGGGAAGCCTCTACCCTTTTAGGTGCCACCCTGCATCGCCGAGGGCTAAAGACTCTGGGCAGAGCCGGAGCCCGACAACCCTTCTCTCGCACCCCGGACCTGGAAGGATCGATTGCTCCGGCCCCACCTTTGCTTGTGCGCACCTGGCTCTCCGCCGCTGGGCTGGGCTGGGCTGGGCTGGGCACCCAGCTCCCCGGGTCCCCAGCTCTCTGTGCTGGGCTGGCTGCGCGGCTGCCCTGCGCTCTTGGATTGGCTGGGGGCGCTGCTCGGAGCGGCCGAGTGAGGCGGTCGGGCTGGGGGCTTTTGTGAGGCGGACGCCTCTGCCTTCTCCTCCTCCTCCTCCTCCTCCTCCCTGCGCAGCCCGGCCCACCTGAGCCGCCGAGCAGCGGCGGCGGCAGCAGCAGCAGCAGCACCCCCTCCCTTGCCGCAGCCGCGCCCCCGTCCCGAGGCATCCCGCCCGGCCAGGAAAGGCGGTGGAGGCGCCGCATTGTGCCCGGCAGAGCTCCTCTGACGCACCGCCCGCCCCCGCCCCCCCCCCCCCCCCCCCGGACCCCCCCCGGCCGGCCCCCGCCCGCCCCCCCCCCCCGCCCCCCCCCCCCCCCCCCCCCCCGAGACCCGCGGGGGGCGCGCGGGGGGGGGAAAGCGGGGGGGGGGGGGGGAAGCGCGGGCACGCGAGCGAGCAGCCGGGCGGGCGGGCGGGGAAGCTGCGAGCGGAGCGGAGGGCGCCCGGCGCGGGGGCGCGCGCGCGCGGCTCTGTGTCTGGCGGGCAGCGGGTGTGTGGCGGCGGCGGTGGAGGAGGAGGAGGAGGAGAAGGAGGAGGAAGAGAAGAGAAGAGAGTCCGGGCGGAGAGGGGACCCTGGAGGTACGGAGGGTCCTTGGGCTCCGTGGCGGCAGCAGCAGCAGCGGCGGCAGCAGCAACGGATCAGGTCGGTCTCTTGCAGCTTCTTCTCGGGGTCGCCACGGTTGGGGGCGCCCTCCCCCATCCCGGCCGTCCCGCCGCGTTGGCGGCTTGTGCTGGGACGCCAGATTGAGGGGGGGGGGTCGAGGGGGGTATGGGGGTTGGAGGAAGGGCCGTCTCCGCGCTCAGCAGCTGCAAAGCCAAGCGCGGGAGTCCCGGTTCTCGGTTTTTAGGTGATGCCCGGGGTGGGCAGCCCGATGGCGCATCCGCTTCAGTGGCCGCTTCAGCCTCTAGGCGGGCAAGGGGGTCGGCTGGTGCGTGTGAGTCTTTCGGGGAGGGGGGGGGTCCCGGAGGGGCTCGGCGCCGCTTGCACTCCGGGGACGATCGCTCGGGTGCCCGTGGTAAGTCGGCGCTGTCACTTGCCCCCCTGGCTCGCCCTGCAAGTGGCTTTTGCCAGCCCCCTCCTTTCCCTTCCCTTCCCCTCCCCTCCCCTCCCTTCCCCCTCATTTCTGCTGGGGGGGGGAGGAGGAAAGGGAATGGATGGAGTAGGAGTTGACAAAGGGAGAAGTTTGCGGGAGATCTGCCCGACCCAGGCTTGGAGGTGGAGGTGGGTGGGTGGGGGGGTGGGCGAGGGCGGAAATTCCCTCTGGCCGGGCAGCACCGGGGTTAATGCCAGCCAGGTTTCGAGCCGCGGGGAACTCCGAGATAGGGGTCTCTCGTTGGGAAGTTGGTTTGCAAGCGCGACCCCCCTCTTTTTGGAGAAGGGAACTTTCTGGCGAACTTTTGTTTTGGGGTTTGCTGAAAAAGTGGAAAAGCAGCGAACCAAACGCCTCGCCGAAAAGGCTTGAACTAGAGCGTGCTTGATTTGTAGACGTGTGGCTTTCGCGGGCTCTTTTTCTCTTCGCGTCCTCCTCGAACAAAACTTGCATTGTGTTTTTTTTAAAAAAACAAAAACAAAAACAAAACAAAACACTGCCTTAATCGCGATTACCCGACGTTTCAGCTGATTTAGGAGCTCGGCGGTGTCGGGCTTCTTAAATATCTTTAAAAAAAAAAAAATATCATTATTTAAAGTCCGGCGGAATGCATTAAGCTGGATAAGCGCGCCGTGACGGGTTTCGCTTGCGGCTGAGTAGAAAG